AGATGATATTTATCGTCTTTCTCTAAAACATGAACCTCGTACACTTCTTAGCGTAAGTTTAATACTTGAAAAATAAATCAATAAATAAATAATGATATTTAGCAAAATAATATTTACAATTCGTTAATCCATATGCAAATATTATAAGAAAAATATTAGTTATAAATAGTAAAATTACTATCTTATCCTAAATAACATATGAAAATATCAATGAAATTTCGATCAATTAAATTACTTATATTAGACAGTAATCTTTTTTTTTTTTTTTAAATCTATTTCTCTTTAAAGTTTCAAAGTACAACAAAATCGGTATTATTTGCTGATTGGGCATCGGGTGTGAGTAGTACGTTGGATGCAGAAATTGTCAACAAACATATTAATGCAATGGTTGAAGCTGTATTTAAAAATTATGATCATAATAAAGATGGTTCCATTTCTCAAAGTGAATTTCAACAAATTTCAACTAATTTTCCATTTATTGCACCATTTGGAACTATCGATACTGATAAGTAATTGTTTTCATTTTATTTCAATAAATTTTATTTATTAGTAATATTTTCATAGTGTAAAAGTTGAAAGTTTTGATGAAAGAAATTTAAGAAAGGAAAATGTAAAATGAGAAAATTATTGTTTTCTAAAGAATTTTTTTCAAAAAACAATTTCTCTTTTTACCGAATGACTAATTTATTGATGAAAATTAATTTCAAATTTTCATTAGTGAATTAATATAAACATAAATGATGTTTCATTATTATCAGATAGGATATGATGAGTGATAATTTAATGAAATTAGAAGTGAAAAATTTCATAAAATAATACATTGGAAAAGTTATTAAATACTGAAATTGAACATTCTATCAATGTAACAGTTTAAACATAATTTTAACAATTTAATACCGAAATTCTTCTATTATATTGTGAATGATAAAACATATCATCAATAAAATATGAAATAACTCAAAATTGCTATAAAATAAACAAATAATCTAAAATTATTTTGAATCAACATTCTCTCCTCGAATATTCATAATTGTTTCGATAAATGATTTAATTTTGAATATTCATTTAAAAAATTTTTGAAAAATATTAATTATGTATTACCTAATTATTTGCTTACTTAGTTGATCAGATGGATAAAAATAATATTTAAATTTTTTGCAGGGATGGTGTAATTAGTAAATCTGAAATGAATGCATATTTCGTCAAAATTTGCAAACAATCGATAGATTTCCGTCGTGAATTTCAGCATAATTTTCATGAAACAACTTTTTTAACACCTGCAATATGTGCTCATTGTGATAGATTAGTAAGTTATGTTTTTTTCAAAAAAAATGCTTTTTTTCTGATTAATTCATTAATTGATACTTATAAGTATCAAGTATAATTCATAAGTTGCTCTATACTTTTTATTTTTTAATTAATAGTTTCAAATATCTTACCACAAATACTTTGTTTATCCCTTCCTTTTTTTTTCAACAGTTTTTTTTTCCTGCTTTTTACATCCATATGTAATTAAAATAAGCAATTTTATAAATATTTTAAAATAGAATGAAAATTATTTCTCTTCTTTGTATCGTTTAATATTTTTTCATGAATTTCTTGCAGTTATGGGGTATAATTCGACAAGGTTTCAAATGTCATGATTGTGGACTTACCGTACATCGAATTTGTAGAGGTAATGTTGTGGTAGAATGTCGTCGGAGTAGTACCGTAACAGAATCATCAAAAACAAGCCGAAAACTTTTGCCTGGTATTAGGTATGTGTTTTTTTTTTTTAAACTTTAAAATTTTCCATTTATAATTTCTTATTTTAATTTTAACTCAACAATCAGAAAAAAAAAATTTAACAAAATGACTTTTAAATTACATTTGATTTATTCTCATGCATCCATTCATCGATTCCTTACCAACTTTTAGGGTTGGACGGAGCGATTTGACGGCTATTGCTATGGGCTACGTTTGAGAGACTTCCGTGTAATGTTCGAGGTCCAAAATAGTGGCGTCACAAATTTGGTAGAACTAACTTACTGAATACTCTCAGGACTAAAACGCTCCTGATAGTATTTCTCATATATGTTAGCAAAAAGAAAAAAATAAAATAAAATTACTAAGTTAATAACATTATAAGCAATATATTTCTTCTTCCTTCCTCATACATTCCTTTTATTCCGGTAATCGAAATCAAATTTTTTATCGAAACATTTTAAAATTCAATTTCTAATTTAATAATAACTTTTTTTATATGAAATATATTTTTTTTTTCTGCTTTTCTTTTGTTTTTCTATTCTTCTGCTTTTCTGCTTTTCTGTTTTTCTTTTAATAATTATATGTATTTTCATTTTGCATCAACATTAAACCACTCATTATTTTCAGATCAATTTCTCGATTACGAACAGCAAGCACAACATCAGAACACGGTCAAACAGATGATACAACAGCAGAATGTTTTGCATCAACAGCATGCAAAATGTTATTACATTTACGACCTCAATCAAGAAAGAATCGTGCACGTTCTGATACAGGCTGTTATTATCAGTAAGTTAATCGTGCAATATTGAAATATTAAATATTCAAAGATAATTGGTTTAACTAATCATTTAATTCACCATTCTATGATATTTCTTTACTTTAATTTAATGTGAAATTGATAGTTTATATACAATCAAATATTACACTATTATTATTTCTTGCAATCATTTTTCGATGGTTGTCTAATTAATTATTTTAATTAATTTATTATTACACTACTCTATACAATTTTCATGAATGGATTGATAAAGGATAATTAAATATCGATGATATTAGCATTTCTTATGATTTCTATAAATGAAACATTCGAAGATGATTAAATGATTTTAAGGGTAGCAAGTTCACCGGAATCACCGAATACAGATGTAGCACCATCTTTAGCATGCGAAGAAGTATTCGAGGATGAATCTGCATGCATATCACTTTCCGAAATGAATGATTCCAATAGTGTATTATGATGATAGATAAGAATAATTTTCTTTTTTATTTATATATTTAAATTTATTAAATCACCAATGAAAACTATTAATTTTGAACAATATTGTTAGCTTCTATTTATTGCAAAGTTAGCTTGAATGCTCTCACCTATGATAATAAGTGCAGGAAAAAAGAAACGATCATTTTCTGAATTATAATTTATACTTACTATTAGAGTAAATAAATACATTATTTTCCATTACAGTAAACTTTAATTAGTTAAATGACTCATGACTTATCAAATTTCATTAAATCATATTTGAACTCATTAAGAGATGTTTATAATTACATAAATCAGATTAATTATGTTCATTAGCAAAAGTTTACTGAGAAATATTATTTATTGATCCCTTTATAATTCTCAGTGATGGTGAATATACAAAGTTAAAATTGTTGAACTGTTTTAATAATTCGTAATTAACATTTTTGTAATTAAACCAAAGTGATGTTAAAATGTGTAATGACAATCTAATATGTAAATTATATTGCATGTTGTCGTCTATTACGGGTATGTTTCTTTTTTTTTTGATTTATTTATTCATACTCTTTCATGGTACTCTTTTTTTCGCTTTAATCATTATTCTGATAAAGGCTTTTAAAGTGAACAGTTTGTGTGACACATTATTTAAAACGCTAACTAAAATTTCATTGAGAAAATCGATAATACGAATGTATCGTGGATAATTGAGATTTACAGTGGAAGAGAAATCAGTTTAAATTCTTTTAGTAATAATTATTAGATGAAGAAAATTATTTTTTTTTTTGATTCAAATTTTCAATTAATAAATTGCCGTAGGTGAGGAGGGAAAAACGAAACTTTTATTTTCTATAAGTCAATTTATCACGAAATTATTTCGGTAATTACAACTTAATATATAAATTATGTAGAGCAAAAAAGCCTAAATATCTTAAATGATGTTTTTAAGTAATGAAATACTGATTGTTAGTTTCTTTTTCTATTCAAATAAATTATAGAAATGAACAATTGCTGTTTTCTTTTTCTTATATAAACCTTAAATAAAACAAAAAATGATAGATTCGAAATAAATAATACTTATATTTTAATTCATGCATTGTTTTTCAAATATATTTTTATCCCAATTAGTTATATTTTTATTTACCTATATCATGATTATCTATTGTTTATCAGATTTTCAAATTATCGAAAATATTTTGAGGTTACTTTTCTCATCATCTATTCCATTATCAAAATTATTCGTTTTCGAAATATCATCTCAAAGTTGAATGATCATAAATGGTTCATGATGAACTCGAAATAGTGGTCGGACAATCCTTTAAGGTAATGGATCCAGTGATGTTGGTTATTCTCTGAATGATGATGATAAAGATGATGATGACTGATGATGATGATGATGATGATGATGATGATGATGATGATGATGATGATGATGATGATGACATGCATATAGATAGAATAGAGAGAGAGAGAGGGGAAAAGATAAAAAGTGAGGAGATTTGACCGATCTCGTGCAATATCCTCTCTGGTCATTCGTCCAGCTAAAATAGGCGGTTTTCGGATGAGAAGAAATGGCGCAAACAAATGTTGTCATTAATTGTAACCGTCATATTATTGATTTCAATGGACATTACTGATAGAAGGACAGTTGTTCCGGTTCTATTATTAATTTTCCTGATTTATCCAATCGTTATCCAATCTGAAATTTGCTATCGATGTGCTAATGAATTCATTGTTATGGTTAAATGCTTTTCTTTTTCCTTTTTTTTTTCTTTCTTAACATATTGACACTGTGAACATTGAATGAGTTGAGGAAGAAAAAAAAAACTGTTTGTTAGCCGATTAAGAGTAAAATTTTCAAATTAACCACGATTTGATCTGTTAGTTTTACATTTCATTATATACCGGCTAAAAAATATAGTGCAATGATTGAAAAGATAAAATATGTTAGCCATTATTTATTATTTTACTATATATCAGTTGATAATAAATTATTTTATTTTTTCCTTCAAATAAATTATTTCATATTGAATTTTCACAAAAAATTTACGATAAATTATTGGATTAATAATAACTTCGTGATTATGAAACAAATAAGTAATAATGTTACATTCATGCTATCATAAAGCATTCAAATGTTTAATTCATGATTGAGCGCCTATTAAATTTAATTAATTGATTTCCACTGAAATTTTCAGTATTGGGGGCGTTTCCTTCCAATTCAATCAGAAGATGAATTAGTTGCCGATTCGGTATGTATTAAAATTGATGAAAGATCGGAAGAAGTACGATGTGTTGGTCCATGTCTAACATTGAATGTTACTGTTGGTGAGGGTAACAGCACTCGAACTATAGGTATGTATACATTACTGCTTATCACCTCTATTAACTGATAAGTTAAATCTATGCAAGAGCAGAATATTTATAAAGATTATCATCCAAATGCTATGTATATTCCGATCAATTACTTAACTATCGGAAGTGATTTTCTTCAATAACATTTTAGCATTTCATTTTCAAAAAACTGCTTAATTGTTTACTAATTCATTTAAAAAATTCTTTTTTTTTTGAAAATTTTAAAATATACCAAATTACTTAATGATATTGGAAATAGGCATAAATATGAGATAATCGAAAGATATCTCCGACGTTTTTTTTGTTTTTTTTTTTTTCAGGAATGATGCGAGATTGCCAGAAGAAGTATTACAGTCGAAATTCGTATAATGATGAAGGAAATCGTAGATGTCGAAATCGCACCGTTAAAATTCGTCGACGTATACTGAATGCTGAATACTGCTTTTGTTTGGGTAATTACTGTAATGGTGATGGTGATGAAGTGGAGAGATCAATGAGTGAATTTCGGAAAATATCGAAATATACGAAAATTCGAAATAATCAACGGAATGGTATCAGTATGAAATGGTCTTTGTGTAATGTTCCGTATTTAATGCTTATTTATATTGTATGTTGGAAATTATATCTGATTAGTTTATAGAATATACAGTATATCCTATATTATTGTTGAATATTGTTGTGATAATTTGTTTGCTTCAATGGTTTATTAATGTTTGCAGAATATAAATTCGATCCTGAATAAATCTTATAAACCGGAAACAATATGATCTTACTCTGAACAGATAACAGCAAGAATTTTGCAATAATTAGCTAAAATGATAGCTAGTACGTTTATTGAGAAAATAGACAAAAATGAAACACTAAGAGATTATTTCCTAATTCGTCAAAAAAAAAAAAAAAACGAATTAACAACAGAGAAGGAAAGGGAGGTTGACCTTTCATTGACCTTTTGTTCCATCTCTATTAGAGGCACATTCAAATAATCATGCAGTGAGGCTGTTTATTCAGGGAACTTAGAGCTTCATATATGGGCAATATATTATTATCGTCACTCTTCACAATTCTCCCAGACAACTACGTTTTTTTTTTTTCTTAATTCGCATTTCGGAAAAATGGATCGATAATAAATTGAATGTTGTGAAATTGTTCCGGTTCATGATTATCACATCCGTTTTTGTGGAATATATTTACGTCATCACTATCAAATTTTCCGGATCGTTCATAAAGGCTCTGAAAAAAAAAAAAAGCAAATTAACCTGATACCTATCACTGCAATTTACATAGATTAGGATAAGATGAATTTGGATTTCCATATTTCAGTAGGTAAAAAATAAAAAATAACAAGATAATTAGCAAATCGAAGCTAATTGGAAGGTTGTTTTGTGTTTGACCCAAAATTGATCTGAATAATTTGTGCTTTTTTTTTTGAAAGTTCCCATTGAAAAAATCCTTTTTCGAACCATTCCTCAATTCTCATCCATTTCGTTCATCCTTTTATATACACTCTTTCCTCTTTCTGATCACTTCTGTGCTATTTCAATCAAATTCTTAAATCACTCTACCATTTAGTGCACGTTGCATCAAATGTTCCATTCGAATCTCTTAATACCAATCAATAAATCTCTTAATACCAATCAATAAATCTCTTAACACCAATCAATAAATCTCTTAATACCGATCAACAAATCTCTTAATACCGATCAATAAATCATAGCTAACTTACAGATACTAAAAGATAATCTGTTAAATCTATACTTTACAAAATTCATTCCTTTGCACGTCTTAAAACCCTCAATCTATACAACTTTCATTTCATGAGCAAATGAATGTTTAAAATTAGAAAATTTGATTAAAAAACTTCGCAATACCTTATCAAGTCTGATATTGGTTGATGTGCGACGAAATGATAACCACTACTACAACAAGTAGTTACTTTTAGTTTAATAAAAAGTAAGAATGCAACAAGAGGATTAATTTACTATTTATTTACCTCTTGTCATTTATCAGTATGTCATTATTTACTATTTACCAATGTGTTATTACTTACTAAGTGTTGTTATTTGATACTTATCAATGTGTTGTTACTTACTATTTTATCAATGTGTTGTTATTTACCATTTATCAATACGTTCTATTTCCGAATGTTTTCTTACATTGAATTTGAACGGATATGGATTAAATCTGAAACATTTTAGCATCGGTTTGAATGGTTCGAGAGCAGATTCGAAATTGTCTGCTAAAAGTATGCCATAGTTCGTTTTCAAGATCGGTTAGTTCAGTATTGATTAACTCCCTATTGTACAGTATTTTTAAATTGTTTTATGACCAATTGATCATTTTTATCTTCTCCTCTCTTGACCTGATCCTCTTTTCTGGCTTAGAACTGCTTAACTTCCTCACCATTTCCGTTTCTATTTTGTAATTTCTACAAGAATTAACTCGACATGCTTCTTTATCATTCCATCCTTTTGTGTAGGTATCAGATAAGCATCACTTTTATCTGTCATCAAAGTAAGTGTTATGGGAATATTCTGGAATAAGACAAATGGTGTAAGTTGATAATCTTTTATCATCACTTGACCAATTTTAGCAGGTTAGTCACAGAGTTTCTTTCCAAATATTTCATTAAAGCTCCATACTGTATAGCTCAATTGACAATATCAAATGGTATCAATCTCAAATTTTTGGAACAATTTATGCTTTCGTAATCAAGAAAGAACTTATATGAAAATGATGAGTGAATAATCCATTAAAGTAAATCATTACGGATAAAAATAGTAAAAGTATGGAGTAATTTCTTCCTCTCTCACTTTCTCTTTCTTTTTTTTTTCTACTTTTTCCCTTTGTCATTCAATAGATTGTATATAAGATCGAGAAATTTGATTAGAAAATGATACTTTAAGTGAAGTACCATTTATTTTTCCGGACATTCCGAACAAAAAGAATATTTTTTCTAGACATTCCGAATTATCATCGATATAAAAAGAATATTTTTTCCGGACATTCCGAATTATCATCAATATAAAAAGTGAACGAAGAAAACGCTGCAATAAGCGAAGTGGTGCTGAAAACAGAAATTTGAGGTACCGTAATGGTTGAATGTTGGTGACGATGCTAAAGTTGGAATTGCAGAAGCGATTGTTGTCCATTGATTTCGTGATTGATGGTAGTTCAGGTTCGTCTCTGAATGCTATCTAATTTTGTATCACGTCGATTTTACGTGTAATCCCACGTGTGACGTGTTGTCTTCATGAGATGAGAATATTGTCATTTATCAGGAAGGGAGTATTATATCAGTATGCATGAAATCAGTTGTTACATTTGTTTCACGTTATCACTGCTAAATGAGATGGATAGGGTGTTTGGTTATGTGAGATTATGATTTTAAAAATGATCGGTATGGTATGATTTTTGTTTTTATTGATATAGTGAAATTCGATTTTGCATTTATTGTTCTTTTGCAGTATCTATCTATCTGTATAGTGTTATTATCATTTTTGCTGGTATAGATGTTTTACACAAAAATTTTCAAATTTGTCCGTGTAGATTTTTGCATTTTCTTGTCTCAACTGATCAGCAATATATATTGGTATTCGTTTTAGAAATCAATCAGTAGGATTGTTTGTATTAGTAATGTCAGATCCAGTTGCGGAATTCTTGGCACGTGAGCAAAGTGTTCTGGCTGGTATAAAGGATGATTCGCTAGGAACTAGTCCTCCTCCCTATATTAATAGCACCAACAAAAATGATGCAATTGGTAATGGTACGTTTTATGAAATGAATTTCTTTTTTATCTCGAAGTCAGTTTTGTGTCGGATTTATCTCTCTGAGTTGGATAACTATAAAATATCAAGAAAACATTGTGGGCATAATCGTTGGCATTAGAAATAATGTGGATTAAATATAGGGTTGTTGAATGACCCATTTAGCCAAAATTCCATATTGGAAGAGAAAGTAGAGGACGGTAGGAAAACAACAAAGAATTTTGTGGGCCTGTTTCGGGAAGATTTCAGACACTGTCAAGAAGGTACTGCAACATACATTAGTCAAGTTTTAGTATGCAGTGGAAGTATTTTCTCATTTTGGATGCGTTTCTCTAATAAGTATTTAATTCTGTCAGAAAAGTGAAAGAGTTTATGAATTGATGGAAAAGTAAATGTCGAAATGCTTATTAAACGTGTGAAAGGTTTTTCATTTCTATTTGAAGATATTTCGGATTTCAGAAAATGATACTGCTTGTGTAAATGAAGCTCGTTTGTTAAGCGGGACCAGTGGTTCTGGTTTGGATCTTCCAATATTGGCAAATGGTGTGCAACGCTCAAGTACAACTCCATCACCTTCTCTCGCGGCAATGAACAACTCATCAAAGCCGGAACCGGAAAAAATAAAGAAATGGAGAGAAGAGCAGAAAATAATGTTGGAAAAGAAAGGTAAAAGTTCGTTCACGTTTCTTGATTTTTTTCTATTTCTTTCAAAAAAAAATTCTTGCATAAAAAAATTCCTCAGTTTATGCATAAGTTTGTTCACGTTTCTTGATTTTTTTCTATTTGTTGCATGAGAAAAATTAGATAATATTTTTCCTCAGTTTATGTTTTACGTAGTTACATTTGTAATTTCTTATTTCATGTGAATGTAAGTAAGCATTTAGCTGGAGTATGTCCTGTTAATTGCATAGCGTTGTTTAGAGGTTTAAATGTTATTTCACATAGTATCATTTCGAGAACATGAAAATGTTTCCTTCTAATTGGTTACACAAAGTTTTGTGGCCATTGATGAGTTTGTTCAAGTTTATCAAGGAACATAATTTGGTGGGCTATTGGATAAATGTTTAAGCAGAAAAAAATATCAAGAAATAAATGATGTAAATAACTATAATGAGCATGTCACAAAAGATTGGGCAATCGATGGCACTACGGTGAAACATATTTTCTCAAAATTATTGCATATTTTTTGGTAGAAGGCGGTTTCTAACAA